CCATGTTATAGTAGGCGTCAGCCTTTCCCTCCTTTTTAAGGTTGAATAATATTCCCTAGTATGTTCATGCCACTCTTTGTTTACCCATTCAACTGCTGAAAGGCATTTGGGTTGTTTCCACCTATTGGATATTGTGAATAATGCTGCTATGAACATTGGTGTGAAAGCATCTTTAATGATGGATATGTTAATTTGCTTCACTACAGTAACCTTTTACTACCTATATGTATCCAATAACATCATACTGTTTACCTTAAATATCTACAAAACTTATTTAAAAATAAAATAAAATAAAAATATCTTTAAGTACATCCCTGCTGTCAATTCTTTGGGGCATATACCTTGAAGTAGAATTGCTGGATTATATGATAATTCTGTATTTCATTTTTTGAGGAACTGCCATACTGTTTTTCAGTTTGTTCATCCTTTTACATTTCCAACAGCAATGCACTAGCATTTTAATTTCTCTATCATCTTGCCAACACTTGTTATTTTCTGTTTTTTTTTTTTAATAATAGCATCCTAATGTATAGGAAGTGGTATCTCATTATGGTTTTGATTTGCATTTCCCTAATGGTAATGATGTTGTACATCTCTCCATGGGATTATTGGTCATTTTTCTATCTTCTTTGGAAAAACATCTATCTAAGTCCTTTGCCAAGTTGCTAGATTTGAGTGGACCCAGAAGCAAGAATAGGCTCTGCAGTAGATAAGGGATGCTATGTAAGTACACCACTATTTGGACCTTATGACTGAATAGATCTAATAACATCAGAAGGGTCTGTAGCCAGTAGAAATTCTATGTAGGCCTTTTGGTAGTCTCCCATAAGAGAATCACAGCTTATACCCATAAGATTTTGGTGATAGGTCATGATCTCTCTGTCAAATGCAATTTCCCATTTGGAATGCAGCTCCGAGCTTGCTCTGGTTGAAACCGAATGAGCCTGGGAGATCAAATCGCTATATGCTCTGATCTATTATAAACTGGGTAGTATGTAATCCATTGAACCATAAAATTGGATGTGCACCCCAGCATTCTACTCTTAAATGGAAATGGCATATATTGAGACTGGGCCCTAGGAGATCCAGAAAGCACAGAAAAAATGCAAAGGCGGGCAATTCAGATTTCCATGATACTTGTTTCTACTGTTTGATATTGTTCCTTCAGCCTTCCTAGAGAATTTACCAGTTAATGGAGGAGAAAAACAAATCAGCCCTGATTTATGGATAGATCTCCATTGATTGTCAACATCAGCCAGAAGTGGATGCTGCTGCATTAAAGCCTGAAAGATATCAGTAAAGGGAACTCTTTCTAGTGGGCAGAACTTGGGGCAATATACACAGTTGGACGGAGAGATGACTTGGAATACAAATCTACACTAATTCAGAGAGCAGGGGCTAACAGGTTGGCCGGTTTGCCAGGCACTTCACAATGATAAGATTAAAAGATTAATGGTGAGTAGGTCTGAGGAAGATGCATTTAGATAGACCTCTCAAAATGGAGTCAATGTAAAGATAATTATATTTCATGTAAATATTTACCAGAGGGCACACTTTATAGAGTAGGCTTTTAATAATCAGGTAAACGAGACAGACCTTTAATAGATGTCAGTTAACCTTTTCCTATAGTAATTAAGGTGGTTGTTCAATGGGCCCATAGGCAGAAATCCAATAATGTGAACTTTTCTTCACCAAGGCTGATTTGGCTACTACCCTTGGTGATTGCCAAACCCGCCAAAAACAGAGGTCAGCATCGAGCTCCCAACATAGCAATGCTCTCTGAGGCTATCAGTTGGAGCTAGCTGCTATTGTCCTCACAGGGGTAGACACATATTCTAGATATGGATTTGCTGCTCCTATTGAAAGTTCTTCTGGTAGTTAAAAATGTAGTTGATACATAGCATGAAGAATTATACATCAGTTAGGAGAGACAGAGCTGATGTACCTATAGCAATATGAATGAATCTTAGAAACTAGTGCTCAGTGAAAAAGCAGAATGGCCTAATATCATTCCCATAATTAAAGATGAATTTATAAACAATAGTATGTTTTTGGAAGAACACATTCAGATAAAATTATATACTAAAATACATAAAATAGTTGGCTATTTTAGGGAGAGGGGAATGAGAGGGGGGATTAAACAAAATCAGTCAAAGAGTAGGTACATGCAAAATCTGAGGGCTAATATGCCATCAATTCATTAATATGATTAGCCTAACAACCTGTACCTAGGGTAAAAGACAAAGAGAGGGGGTGAAAAATCCTTAAAAAATAAAAAAGCAAAAGTTGAAAGATCTTTTTTTTCTTTCTTCTCTGGCATTTGGGACTCTGGCAGGTGGCTTAGCTCAAATTACTCATTTAGGTCTCCAAATCTTGAGGAAGTTGCATGAAGATGCGTGACAGTTTAGAAATTACATATAGTGCAGTAGCGCTGGCACTGAGAGTCCAATGGTGGCAGTGTCAACTGGTGCCACTGACATTGGTGGCATCCTAATTAGACTGCTCCTTGCCTGGGGTGTCCTGTAACAAATATTTCTTAATTTCAGACTGGTTTCTGACCCTTGATATCCAGCCTTTTTGATGATTGTGTAAGCAACCCAGTTTTCTGCTTAAGTTAGCCAGAGTAGATTTTTGCTGTTTGCAATCAAACAGCCCTGGCTAATACCCCAAAGTCCTAATTGGGTTTTGAAATGCAAATAGCCTCATCATCTGGCCTTATGTCCCCTTCATTCTTGCCTATTCTCGATAGAACTGGTGTTTGACTTCATGCATAGTCTTTTGCATAATACATAATCCCACACAGCCAATAAAACTAGTGTGACAGATTCTAGGAATAAGGCTTAGAGTGGCATTGAATGGAATCAGCATCTTATTTGCATTAATTTAGTGTTTTCTGTATTGGCTTTACTTAGCCACTAAATTGTTGTCCTTTAATTATTACCTCACTATTGAAGTACCATGTAAAGTTGTTAGAAAATGTCTACTTTCTTGCTAGAAACTACTAATAGAAGCAGATAACAATCAGTTGCCACATTGCAGTTTTTATGCACTAGAGAACGGTTCATAATTTTATAATCCATATCAATGTCTTCATTCCATGGAATTTTCAGTCCTTCCCATGGGATCTTTAGGTATCACATATGGCCAGAAAGAAGTTGTTTATCACAATGAACCATTAAATGACCTGACATAAAAAATAATTGACGACTAATGTTTTGATGGAAACCTCATATACCAAATATCTTGTATTCTTGTTAAACACATATATGTGGGATACTGGTTTCTATTATACATATCTGGAAGGAATATCTAAATTAGTAGTATTTTAGCCTGAGAAAAAATGACTTCCTATTCCT